AATCTCACGAATTCAGTCGTACAAGAATCTTATAAGATCTTACAACAAGATTCTTTGACCTGGGAACTTTCCTAGTCTCTAATAGCATGTAAAACATCACTCAATTTGAAAGTTTCCATAGAAAAAAATTTTCTCGAGTATATGTATGAATGGCTGAATATGAAGCCTCAAGTATCAGTATCTGACCGTCGAGCGCGAATATATATTCATACTCTCCCAGGTCTATCACAAATCTCATGTCTGCTTGTGTACTTATTGAGTGTTTCTCAATGAGTCTTTAGAAATCTGATCTCTGGAGATGCAATACGAATATGAGAATCAAGCGATTCCGTTCTGGACAGTTTGTAAATCTCATCAAGTTATCCACATATAAAAATCTTATCAACAACCCGATCTTTTCAGTTGATTAATCGTAAAATCTTTATAATTCAATTAGAATCAGATCAGAGATCAGAATTCTAAAAGTCCGTTCAGAAACTCAATAAGTGCACAAGCAGCCAAGAGATTCGCGATCAGCATCAAGAATAACCATAGGAAAACAATCCATGAATCAGAAAAACTTTCAATCACATCTGGAAAGATTTCTTTTCAAAGACTCCACTGGCATACAGTTAACAAAGTGTAAATTGTACTTGTGAATGTGTTTTAATTCTAACCTGAGATGTTGCTTGATACAATTCAATAGATATTGTACGCCCAATTTATGTTTAAAAACTTTTCGATTATCTCTGATAAACTGTTGTCATATACTGTATGTGCATAATTCGAACATTTATTTTGCTTCATTCCATACATTAAAATCGAAGAGTAAATATTGTACGAGAGAATTAATTAAAGTTCGCACAATCGATATTGATTCAATATTCTAGAAGTTGTTGAATAGCTATGAGTAATTCTTGATCAATAAAACATTGTGGAATAGATGAAAGATCTTTTTGTAATATTTCTACATTCTAATCACGACACATTTGTTCAATGTGAAGTGAATTATATTTTGATGATGAAAATGGTCAACGAATTACATTTAAAATTGTAGCATATGGATTTGATTGAAGATGATTATGAATATATGAATTGTTTCTTTGAGAGCGTTTACGAACAATACATTCGACAGATACGGCAGATCTGTTACGAATATACATGAATACATAGTCGATCGCAATTTTGACTATCTGTTAATGTAACAAAAGAAACAAAACAAAAAATGATGATTTGATAAGATTATCATTTAACAAATCAGATGTACTTTATTGATAATAGCTCGAATTTCATTTGATAAACAATAAGAGAGTCTAAAATTATTTCTCGTTGCTGTAACAGTGTAACTTACCGAAATTGTGTCTGACGATTATTCAATAGATGAGAATGATTTTGTAGTTGGTTGATTCATTAAAACATTCAAATAAAGGATAAAGTGTCGGTACACCACCAATGGATAAGAGTGAGTTTAAATAGGAATAAATTCGAGAATATGTGCCATTATTTAACCGTCCATTCATTTGTGTATTACCCGATATAGCGACACATAAAACAGCTGTACAAGCCAATAGATGATAGACTAAAATTGTTTTTATTGCTAATAAATCACTGCTTAAATGAACAAATGGTGGAGCATAAATGACAGATACTGATGATGAAGATTGTAATAATGATGAGTGTGGATGTAAAAAATCGGCTCCTAAAACAAAAATTGCATGTCAATAGAATTTGAGTTTGTTTGACATTTTCTCTATTACCACGTAAATGTTATTGTTTAATATCATTTTCTTGTAGTGCATCCGATAAGAGCCAGACAAATGCCATTTGTCCATGCAACGATGTTGATTGTCCAAACAACGTATCTTGACAATTTGGATCGGTAGTAGTAAAGACATTTTGTTGAGTTTTATTGACTTTATTCATTTGTTGTTGTGTACCAGATGCCATCATAAATAAACCTTTAGATGATTGAATCATTTTACCCGTTAATTTTGATTGATTTTTATTTCGACTATTTAAAATTGTTGATTTTGAATGATACGGTCGTCGGCTAGGTGAACCTATACTTGACAATGTAAATATTTCTGATATAGTTGGATATTTAAAATGTTTAACATCTTTTTTAAACATCCATCAACACGAATAGATAAATGACATGTTCTTGATGTTTGAAATGATAAAAATATGGATTTTTGTTGAAAATAAACAATTGTTAATGAATGCTAACACTCATCGATCAAATCACATTCGGGTATTTCAACATAGGTTAATTCCCTATGATCACTAACGAGTAAATACAATGATGTACTACTGGCACCGAGAAATGCTTCAAAACCTAAACCATTCTCAGAATAAAAACTGTATAATTGACGACGTTGAGCATACGAATAAGATTCTACTTCATGATTAAGACATCGTCAACAATAAAATGTTATATGAGAGTCTGGTCAACGTTTTATGGGTGGAACAATAATGCCACCATTTGTTCGTTCTAAGTCAAAATAAGAAGAAACATTTTCACCATCTTGATCATCGGGTGTCGCTGCTGTTGTCATTATTCTTAATAACTGTTTTCTATAGAGAAATTCTTCTTTTTCATGTATTTCATCTGCATTTGTACGAGAAAGTATTATATTATAATATGAAAATATTTGTTTTAATTCGATTGATGTTATTGAAAATCGACACAATTTTTCTAACAGGGATAATATAGTGTCTAAAATTAAACACAATATATATATACGACGATAAGAAAATATTTTTACAATGTCAGATTTACCGAGACCAATTTTATCATATTGTTGCTTATAATCTAATATTTTAATTAATGTCATAACAATTTTATTTGAACATGCAGTCATTTTATTTTGTAATGAACAAAAAAAACTATATTTAATGAATAAACAATCTTCTATTGAGATTCAACAGATTTCATATGCGGTAACCAATAAATCAAAGATACAGAAATATGAGGATTAATCAATATTGTGTTGTTGAGATGATGGACCGGGTACAAAAGTATCATTATTACATAACACCTGAACGGTTGTCGTTTCAGTTATCTAATTAATATAAAGAAGAGAAATATAAGATTACTTTTATCAGTAAAATTAAAGGCTCTCACTACCAGAAACCGATTTTAGTCTAAGATCATTCGATCATGATAGAATTTTAAAAAAAGTACGCTCTATATTTACAAATTCAAATATAGATCATTTATTCAAATAAACACATAGTTTATATACAAAAAAAAGAATCGCTACAGTTAAATTGAGATAATAATTTTTGAGATTAAAAATTAAATTGAGATTTGGTTTGGATTCTCTGCCAATATCATCGTTATAAATGTAGATGACTTAGCATCTGCCATACACTGTAAAAAAATATCTTTTACTATTCACAGTTTATTCACTCAGAGTGAACACAGCATTTACCTGGAGTGTATAATTTATGCCCATTAAGTGCATATTTCCGTCAAATTTTTGTCCATGTACTTGTCATTTACAGTACATCCGGTTTCCATCTAGTGTATCCATCTTATCTTATTCACATAGTCACTTTTGCGTTCTGTCACCTTTTCAGACGACGTTATAGCCGAATCTTCTTTTTTTCGGATATATAGAACGTGTTTAAAGAGGAAAATGAAATGAATGTAAATGTTCGAACATAGAGGTAGCAAAAGAGATGAGATGATATTATTCTTCGACTTTTTTGTTTTATATAATATGTCAGAATTCATTATGAATGAATTTTTCATTCAGTCGATAACAAAGAACTTATCTCGTTACTTTTCTCACAACTATCACACTGTAAGTTCGTTTCTGAGAAAAGTCCGTACACAAAGTAAAGTAAAAAATACGGTTCGTATCCGAAAAATCACGGATCTTTCTCACAATCAGGAAGAAGAGCACATGAAAAATCATTCATGTAGTTTTCTTTATATGCGGCAACGTACAAAGGTCTGTGAGTGATTTTTCATAGACTTTTTTAACTGACTATAATGACTAAAGACATGAAAATTTCTGTTCATTTTTCAGTTCGATCAGGTACGTGCACATCGCGGAGGCTTTGATTTTCAACGCTTTTTGAGAGTTTTTCTTGGTGGTAGGAATGCCGAAAGTCCCTCTTGCTCTAGTTTGCATTGAAATGATAATTTAGCTCTCTTTAAATCCTTTTTTTTGTGAAGTCTTGTTGATTCGACCTTTCGTGCTGCACTGAGTCAGAAGAAGAAACTGATCTTTTGAGTAGGAATCAAAGGAAAGCATAATTGCAGATTGTAGCCTTAGTAACTTAGAAATCTGTCCAGCCCAGCGTTTTCTTTCCACAACAGACAGTATTGAAATGCGTTCGTTATTAGAACTATTTTCTAATTACCGTTACGGTTTTCGTTTCAGATTTACGTATTTGCTTCTAGATTATTATTATTTACACGTTTTATGCATTTTCACCAGATTTCTGTTTTCTTTTCAATGTTTTCAACCAAAACTAGGATATAAGGACCATAAAACAGCGTTTAATAAACGCTATTTAAATGCTCCTTTGTCTTAATTTTACAGTTATGCTTTACAACAAAAAATAAAGAAGCGGATCGCTTCACGAAACTTGCCTTCGATTCTGTTTCTCAAAATCTCAAAGGCATAAACTAACAGATAAAGTGGAAGAAAACCACTTTTAGTTTGTCATATTCTCACTTTTGAAAGAAACGTTGCTTACGGAAAAGCTCTTCGCCATAAACGGTAAATTTCGAAGTGCTTTAGCGACGTTTTTCTTTGAAACAAATCACA